GAATGCCTGGGTTAAAATTTGATAGCTCACAGCGGCCAAATTTACCAGCATGAGTTTTTGTCCATCTATCTATTCCTGGATCAGGGCAGTTGTCTGGTGGGCTGGAGCAGAAACAATAGCAACTGTTGCAGAGTATTTGAAGTCAATATGCAGTTTAAAGTTTAGGTCGTCAAGTGTTTGGCAAACTTTGAAGAGTGCACGGTATCAATGGAAAAATTATGAAGCTATTGAACTAAAAAAACAACTGGTTACATTTGTTGAAAAGACACAGATGTGGAGGAAACTTGAACAGGATACTTGAAGTTTTCATGGTAATATGCTGAAATGATCACAGGCCTTTTCTGTATAAAATTGTGAACTGAGACACTTTAAGGCACCTCTGAAAATATGGAAAAAAATATGCTGTCTCTGTCATAGGAGGATCCTTTTTTCTAAAGCAAATATTAGATGACTTCAGAAAAAAAAGGATGAGCCTTTTTCTCTTTTTTCTCAAGAAGCACGAAAAAATATAGCAACCTGAGTGCACAAGGCTCATTGCCTTTAAAGGGACACTTCACTGCTTTTGAAGTGAGGTCGTATGAGGTACTTGTCATTAGTAAGTGTATTACCCACAAGGGATTCTGGATCTGCTGCAGATGGGGGATAACACTTGTGTTGCATCTGCAGACAATGGTAAAAACAAATAAGCAAAGCTGGGTGTTGAAACTTTTAAAAACAGAGTGTACATATATATCTGAATTTGTGTATGCGTTAGATTTTCTCTGACTTAGCTAAAGTTGACCTCTTCTGCAGCCTAGCTTCCATTCAAGGTCTGTAGTCATTCTATCGAAGGAGCCAAATTGAAATCATTTCAGGACCCTCTAAGCCGACTATCATCTGCACCAGTTATTGCTTGGATAACTATTTGATACACAGAGTAGGTGGAGTCTGCACACTTCATACTTTGGTTGCAGATACTTTGGTGGGGCAGATTGTAGTTATCAAGGTAACTTCAGAGAAAACTTTGGGTTTTCAGTTCAAGGAGGTTCACTTTGCACCATTATAACTTCTGCCGAATACATAGCCTCCTCCACCAGCAAGTTATGATCAGGATAAGAGAGCAGTTTGGGGAAAACACCACCCTCCCTGACCAACCATTGTAGTTGGAGACTTTGCCAAACTGTGTAATTCTACATATGAATCTCAATAAAGAAAGCTATTGATCAAGTTTTCTTGACACCATTCATCAACAGACAACAAAAGCTAACATTAGAGAAGTTAGATGTTAAATTATGATTGCTTATTGATTTGAGTATTAGTTTCATATCAACTTTTACCATCTCCATACAACTACCTCAGAGCTGCAGCTAAAATATTCTTTGACTCTTTTTTAAGCTGCCAGTTCTGTGTTGATTTCAGTCTTATAAATGTGTTTAACCTACTCTAATGTCATAGTAAGTTCAGAACATATGATAACCTGCTGTTGGCCAAGTCATCCATGTTTGTGATTGGTGGTCATTTATTGCAAACTCTCCTACATTCATTTTAATGCCCTCATAGTTACACTTTTGATGTATCAGGATGATAGCCCCCTGCTTGTGTGACAGCCCAGTGGGATCTTCCTTGTCAGGCTAAGTGAAGCCAGAAAACTAAAAGATTAGGCGAGTTGAGCTCACTTTAAAGAACAAGCCCAAGGATGAGAGAGATGTTCACATCATGACCACATAGGCTGTATGGACACTTAACATTCAAGCGGGATCTAGAGGACAATCATTACCTCTCTAAAGTTGTAAAGTCAAGACATTTATATTTGAGCTTTTGTATATCCTAGACTTAATCTGTGAATGTTGCTGTATTCATTATGTGTTGTAGCTCCTTCACTCTTTATTCCAGCTCATATTGCTTGAAGCTCTAGTGAGATTTTATCTAGTCATGAAGCAGACTGAAATTAATACTGATGCCTCTATATGACCTACAAATGCAAAGAAAACCATAATGAGAAAACTAATTATTTTAGATGTTTTAAATGTGTGGAGATGCTACAAAGAGAAAGGTGCCTGAAGAGCTGATTAACAGAATACTGTCAAAAGAGCTTATTGTACATTTTATCATGGCACAGATTCTTTATGAGTGAGACAGCTGGCTGTTAAACAAAAGTAGAAATTGGATGAAAAACTTTTTTATATCTGCAGAACAAGATTAGCGAAACCTGTTATGCTCACAGCGGTTTCAAAAATCAACACATGACAAAAGTTCCTCACAAGAGCTTCATTATAGATACTTTGAACTCAACTTTTCAAGTCAAGTCCTGTAATAATGGCAGTAAAAATAATTTCTGATTTAGGTGCATTAGTCAGCATCTGGCTCTCCAACTGTCTGTAAAAGTGAGCAACTTAGAAGAAGAGAATGAAATACAATCTGTGATTTAAACAACAGACCCAAGACCTGCAAAAGTCAGCAAAATAGTGAGTGGCGGCCTAGTTCAGGCACATTGAGGGGAAGATTAAAGTTGTTTCATTCTCTGTAGATACAAAGCTAGTTGAAGATTTGCAAAGACTTCTTGTACACTGCCTTTTGAGGATATTCTAAAAGCTAAGCAATAAAAATAATGAGATGACTTCACTGAATTGGTACAAAAGTTTCGCTCACACTGCAGCTTGTGGAAGTAAAGAGAGTTGTCAAAGGTCATTACAAAGCAATTTGTTGCCTGTTTCCATAACGCATCACGGCTCAAAAGTGAGGGAGTGGTGTCATGAAAAGAGAAAGACAAGGCATGTTCAAACAAATCTGTGCATAGGAATCAGCGTTACTGGCTGCCGAGTGAAGCCATGCACTCTAAAGTTATTGCTGCTTGATTTTTTTTACTTGAAAAAACTTAACCAGTGAAGAAAAGCAGGAGAAAAAAAAAGAAGTATTCAAGATTTGGGAGAGGTTTAACCCTTAAAACACACACAAACATATGGACAGGGTTGAGGTCGGAGGTCAAATGGCCCTGAACTCTCTCTCTCTTTGGGCTGAGGACATCAGAGGTCCCTGTGTGTGCAGCCCTCCATTTATTTTACCCATCATCCCTCATCAGGCCTGCTGACCCTGCGACCCTGGAGCTAGGGTTACCTGTCAGTCGACTGTCTATTCACGAGCACCGGGCTTGACGCTGTGTCAACATTTGCTCTGTGAGAATCGAGGGAGGAAGAAGAGAGGAGGTCCAGGCTGGTGATGACTAGAGCAACAAACAAGAAGAGTCTGAATGAGTTTACAAACTTTGATTTTGAAATCAGTACATAGAAATCTACAAAAGTGTCTCCATTTCTAACCTCCAAAGCTCAGGTTTCAGGTAGAGCAGGGCCCTGCTAGCACACTCCTCAGACAAATGGCATGCCTGTGTGATAATTCCTGTTTACTCAGAGACAAAGATCCAAAGGAGCACAGTAAACAGATGCATGCATGGATACCTACTGAGGGGTACCTACAAAAACACTCCAGAAGCCCCCCTGTATGTGCTGTCAGCTATCAATCAGGGTGCCGTAAGTGGGATCCTTGAGTGGAGATGCTATCAGCGCTGCTTCGTATATACTCACACCACAGTTTCCCTTATCTGTGCTGAGATAACAGATCCCCTCTAACAGCAAGAGGTCTGAGCCAGACACACTCACTTTCTACATCTCTCTGTCTCAGCTGGGCTACAGAGGCCACTTCATTTCAGACAGGGGCCCTTGAAAAAAGGGGCATAAAAAAACAGTCAATTTGCTCTGGTTCCTGTTTAAAATTCAATAAGTGTGTCTCTTATATTGCAACCGTGTGGTGCTTGCAGAGGCTACAGAGGGTGCGTGCTCCTTCTGATCCTAATCTCTGATGTTATCAGTGGCTAGAAGAAACATGATACATGTCTCAGTTGACAGAGCTCAATGGGCATGAAATTCAACAAAAAGGAGCATGAAACATCAACAATTTCCTGCAACTGTACTTTTAATCATTTTGTAAACATTGCATTTCCTGATTTAAGCTAAATTTCTTAAACTTTACAGATTAGAGAGGATGAAGTTGTGGACACAAGCAGCATTGTATTGAAAAAAAAAAGGCTCCAACAGAGGTGTGCATATCAGATAAGGTTTTATGTGTGCAGAAATACTGCATGTGCAGTTTCTTAGAGAGCGCTTTCTGTTGGCGTGTTGCATTTTGGTTTTGTGAGGTCACTGTTGATATTCTTTCTCGGTCTGAGGACAGCGAGCTCTGGAGATGGTCCTGGATGGGGTCTGTTTTTCAAGCTTCCACCAGACCACAGCACACTGGGCCTAATAACAAAAACAAGCATCCCGGTGTGGAGCTGGTCCCACAGTGTGAGGACTTTAATGAGGAACATGTGGAGCTGCCCAGACACAGTCAGAGGAAACCCAATCCCTCACTCCACCCCCCACCACCCACCCCCTTCCTTCTCCCTTCCCCCCTTTTCTTCCATTCTTTCTTTCTCACTCTCTACATTTTCTCTTGCTTGGTCTCAAGTTTTTATAATGCTGCACTGCTGTTGGGTCTACTTTCAGAAAAAGCTTTGCTCAGACCTCCACACTTTATTGCTAATTTCTAAAACTGACTATTTTCTCCATTGTATCAGAAAAAGTGAAAAAAAAAAAACTGGTCTTGTTTTTACCTGATATCATGTTTTCCAATGTACCCACTCTCTCCTTACAGCAGCTTAGTGTTAAGTTGGTGGTTTATACATATTCCTGGTCATGCAGTGCAATATGCTTAAAAAGAAAACATGGGAAGAAAGAGGTCTTTCTCTGCCTATCAAGCCTGACAGGCGGTGCAGGACTTTCTTTCATGTGCTGTATTCATCCTTAGCGTCCACCTGGATCAATTAGCTTGTTTGCTTGAGTGGTCATCAGTCCTGCAGTGTGGAAGTTTAGGACTGCAGCTATTTGAGAGAAACTATATCTTTGTTTCAGAAATATTTACTGTACATACATGTTTTTTACAATGCTATCTAACACAGGGCAATTTCTTTGTGTTTTCTTCTTAAGGAGATGTCATCGCTTCCTCGTGAGGATAAACACCATAACAGGTGAGAAATCATCCAGCAAAAATGTATATTAATTTGCTGCTCAGAGAATTATCCCCATCAGCAGATCTGTTTCTTGCACCACATCACTGCTCTATATCCAAGCTGTCGAGGGGAATATGAAGTGTTACATTTCTGAGGGGATTGAAAATGTGACCGTAGAGCAGAGTCATAAAGCAGATCAACCAAGCAAGCCTCCAAAATTAGCTGAACAAACAGAGTAAGGTAGAGCCCTCTGGGGGGATAAACTTGGCACACTGGATCCAGTGTGACAGAGGCCCTTCTGGCAGTCAGAACAATCCAAACGTTCCACTTGGGTTGAGCTGTCTTCGTTTCCCCCTCCACCGTATATATCAGCCCCACATCAACATGGGCCTGTGAAGACCTTTCACGAGACTGACAGGCCACCTGAATCACACAATTGTGTGGCCGGAGGAGCCTGCATGTGTATACGAAAACCAGTGATCCAACAACTGTCTGGGTTCACTTCTCTCTCATAAAGTCAGGAGGGAGACGCAATGGGAGACCCACAGCTACAAGCCAAGTGTTCCAGCTGCACCAAAACAAAGCCTTAACTTCTACCCAAACTGTAGAAACTAGACTAAAATTGAGTGTTGATTTTCATAGCATGCGTACTTTATCTAATAATTGGTTGATCCATTGAAACCCTCTTTAAACATAGCAGAAAACCTACAAAGTGTGTCTTAGCTAACTCATATGCTAGTGAGACTATGTGCATTGCAGATGGTCCAGCCTCACAGCAGCTGTGCAAATGAAAGAGTGTCGCTGAAGGAGTGAGAGGGATGGAAAGTTGGCCACAAAAGGAAAAGAGTAACACACAAGTTGCTAACTGAAAATGTAATGGAAAATTTAATAGCTCACAAGGATTTTGCTGAGAGAAAATAATTGAGTCAGAGTATTTTCCCCGAATGTTGTGAATTGGCAAAAATGACAATCTCTTTGCTTTAAGGCAGGTAAAACACAGCTCTACAACCACAAAAAGAAAAGAAAACACAAGGAAATGATTTTTTTAGCTTTACATTTAAAGGCGAATTAGACTTTCAGCAAATCACACAGTTTGGGGTACAAATGCAGTTCCCCTTGACCTCAGCCTTTAGTCACCAATACTGACATAAAGCTAAATTCATTTTTCCATTTCAGAATAGCCATGCACCTGTTATACCTTCACTGGATAAAGTCAGCATGTGTGTGAGGGTTTTCACACACAGCTGTAAATCAAACTCCATCATTTGAGCACTAAGTCTGCAGTGAAAAAACAACAGGTGGGAGAATCCCGCTTAGCACTGAAAACACACTAACATTTGTCCTCAGGTGGGGGAGGGGGGCGAAGAGACAATTGCCCCAGAGTGCTTTGTAGTGCAAAGGGTTTAATTATCTGCTGTACACTGTTCAATCCTGAGTGTTGTTTTTTTTTTTTTTTACTTGCCACATCTAGATTTCCTGAATGTTCAAGTCTAACTCTTAAAGGGTCAAACACACCGTAACACCGAGTTAGACACCCCCCAGAGATGAATGTTGCCGACTGCTTGCTTCTCCAGTTATACCAACTTTAGTAACAACCTCAGATAGCCATACACAGAGCCACGCGCTCAACCAAAAAGCCACTCTAAAGCCACATATAATGCTCAGAACAGCATCTAACTTCATTAACAGTACATATAGGGTCCCAACCATAGCGATAGCCACCAAACATCTTTTTAGCTTTGCCTAATTTCTTTAGCAAAGAGACTAAACACAACTCACCCACTCTCTTCCAGCAGCTGAATGTTTGTAGCGAGACGTCAGGCCAGCCCATTACGGACTACAGCGGGGCGACGCAGCTCAAGGAAGAACATTTATTTATGTTTTTATGATCAAATGATGATGGAAAAGTAATGATCATAAATGTTCTTCCTTAAGCTGCGAAACTCCACTATAGTCAGTAAGGGACTGGCCCGAGGTCTTGCTACAAACAAGCGGCTGCTGGAAGAGAGTAGGTAAGTTGTGTTTGTTCTTTTTGCTAAAGAAATCAGGCAAAGTTAAAAAGATGTTTGGTGGCTAGTACTATGACTAGGACCCTATATGTACTGTTGATGAAGTTAGATGCTGTTCTGAGCATTATTTGTGACTATAGAGTGGCTTTTTGGTTGAGCGTGTGGCTCTCTGTATTGCTATCTGCGGTCGTTACTTAAGTTGGTATAACTAGAGAAGCAAGCGGTCGGCAACATTCATCTCTCAAGGGGGTCTCTAACTGGGTGTTACTGTGTGTTTGACCCTAACTTAATTTTACGCCGGAATATCCCTTTAAAGGGTTAGCATATATCTATGGACTGATAATAGACTGTTATAACATGAATATAACCACAAGACCTTGTGTTTTTTGAATTACAATCAGGGCAGTTTAAATTTCACACCATCCCCTCTGTTGTTTGGGGCACTTCTCCACAGCCCCTGGCCCAATAGTTGCCAATACATGTAAATATCAAGTGGTTAGTGAATAATTAGTGCTTCATTGGCCAGCCATCACCTCTGGGCCCCGTCTACACTTTAGACCCCTCCCTCGTAGAGCCGCCCTGAAGACAGGGGCCCCTTTTGAATGACAGCGCTTGGGAAGGAAGACGAATTCTTGTCTGATTTCCCGCAGCCACAGCGTCGATGAGAAGCAGTCGAGGAACTCCATTCTAACTGAATGGATTGGTATGGGGAGAAGCGGACCACAAATCACGGCTAAGCGGCAGCTTTGGGACTGTATAACGTTGACGATGGTTTTACTTTCACTGCTGTTTCGACCAGGTAAGTGGTGCTTTCTCAATCCGTGCTTCTCCACTCCTCTCTCTCCTGCATGCAAAGTTGTCTCCCGCTCTCCCCGGAATGGAGGTGGAGATGGAAAAAGTTAACTTCTTTCCTGGCGTCTCAACTCAACAGTCTGAACAGCTTTAGTCTTTTAGTAATTTCTCCTGGCTTGTGTTTTGGGTGTTTTTGTTCTCTTAAAAATGAGAATAGTCGCTGTTGTTTGAGAGTATCCCGTCCTCAGAGGGGACAAAGTAATGTCCTGTTGCTGCTCTGGTATCCCAGCCTCCAGCCTGCACCGCAACGCTTGTATCGCTGCTAGCCGAGCAGCGTGAGTTAACACTCTCTACGGACGTGTTTTTACACTGTTTTAAAACCATTTTAACCACTTAAACAAATTACTATAAAGAGTTTGCAGACAATACATGCAGAGTGCTCGTGTTTTACTCAACACAAGTTTCGCTATTGTCATGTGTAACCAAGTTGTGGGAAGTTTTGCTTAGCTCTCGGCTAGCATACATCGCCAACAACTGTTGTCCAGCACCCGCAGCCCAACCACAAGAAAACCACGGAAATTGTTTTTAATCAGAAAGGGTCGCGAAACGGTCACAGATACCTTGCAGACACGAGAAGAACTCAAATACTTAGCTCAGGTTGTTGAAACTTGTTTGCAAAGCTTGTGGGACTGTGGTATTTTCCCCTGTTCATGCTTCATTTATTAACTTTGTTAGCTACCATGCATGGGGGTCCAACTTTTTGGCCTCAGAACGTGTTGGTCGCTCCTTTATCCCAGCCACACACCAAAAAAACATTACTAACCCCAGGAGCATGTTATATTCGACTTTTATTTTACATGCTCTGCAAAGTTATCAAGTTGTTAGTAAAGCATTTTGATCTCTCACTCAGTTCACACACTTGGAGACTGTCTTTATATGATGTTTACTTTGTGGTAGGCCTATTTATTTCCACTTTTGATGGTGTTAGATTTAGTTTTACTGCATAGAGAAGCAGAAAAGTCTATATGAAACATTTTTGTGCATATCAATGCATTTTAGATGGACAGTGCATATATATTTGCCAATGTGGGTGTAGAAATATAATGACATTTCTCAGTAGTAGACATGCTTTTCTGTGTTCAATGCAAGAATAATGATATTTATGACTTAAATGTCTTGGATATTTAATAAATCAAAGAATTAGATTGCAAAAGATTGCAGAGTTATTCATCTGCATACCACCATACCAAAGACAAAATGCTGCAATCTAGGATTTAATCAAAACATTACCTTTTGTTGGTTGTCCTTCTTTGTTTTCTTGTTTTTTTATGGCTTTAACACCTTATATGTGTGTTTTCCTTTATTTGCCCAGTGTCTGTTAAAATGTGCTAAATTAGATGCTTAAAAGTACACTAGTATGGAGTTAAGAATGCCAATATGTTTAATATATTAGGAAGGTGTTTAAAAAATGAACCCCTCATAGAAAGAATTGGTGTTTATTTTAAATTGATTTAACTTGCATGTTGTTAATGAACAGTTCATAAGTAAAACAAGGCCAGTTAATGTTCTAGATAGATAAGGTTATTTAATGTAGTCTAAGTAGATCCTGAGTCTAGCAAGATACTATTAAAATAATAAGTTTCAAGCTTTTCCAAGAGTGCAAACTAAAACAAGGCCAACACTTTTAGAAAGAAGTGTGTTTATCCACTACTTAATCACTAACTCAGTACACTAATAGAAATGCTTGTTGTGTGGCTACTTTGCCTTACTTTTGTTTTCCCATACTCTCCACATGGTCCTCACACTTGTTGGTAGACTACTAAGTGTCATGACATAAAGACCCTTGAGGGAGATTCATTGTTATTGATGGCTGTGCAAGCAGTGATCGTCCAGAACTGTCAATCACAGCAGACTCGTGTGACCTCACAGTGAGACAGGGGGAGGCCTGCTGGAATTCAGAGGAGAGATGCAGAATGGCTCTAGTTTGACCCCTCGCACTCCATCACTTCTTTATCCAGGCTCGTGTTAAAGTGCAGCAACTGTGAGAGGCATTAATCATCTGTCATGCTTTTTTTTTACTGCATCAGGAATGTATGAAAGGGAAGAAATGAAAAATAAAAGTGTGAAATTGTCACGCCTATTTTGCTGCCATTGTCTATCCTGTCTGGATTTTTGACTTGGATTTTCAAAAGAACAATCTGTGCAACTGATTGTGGTTTTGCAGAAAAATTGATGCATGTGCTTTGATTTCTTGATAATGATGATGGAAAATAAGTCTACCATGCAGCAGGAGTTAATATCCCAGTCAGCATGAGAGACATCCTACCCAAAAGTAACACAACACCTAAGTGAAGTCAATGAATTTCCACAAATTACTTTCCTGCAGAAATCGTTCTTTGTTTTCCTCGACAATAAATTTACCACCTGTGGTTTAGCATTTAACAGAAAAGCACTAAATTAAGAGACAGCACCTAAATCTCATGCTGTGCTTTGCTGCCCCACACCTCTCTCTAGCTTCCGGTTGGGACCCCGAGTCGCTGAACAAGCGCGACTCTTTGTGATACTCATCTTGGGATCACGTTAGCATCCGTGATCCTTTGCCCTGATCCCGCCGTGCAGTGTAGCTAGCTTGATAGACTTCAATTACCTCAGCAACAGCCAAACCACATTCAGCACCCTGAGGCAAACAGGTTGGTTTCCTCCAACAGTGAGGATATGTGCTATTTCTGTGAGGGCTAGTCAGGGGAAATAAGTTTTGACTGACTCTGGAGCTCAGAGCGGAGCCGTGGCCTCGTGAGCTCACACTTTGGATTTTAATGGCTCTCCTAATGAAAATAAACTTGATAATGGAAAAGTTTGACTGTTTGTTCCATGCTAATGTAATGTTGCGATAAATATCAGATGAGTTATCAGATTCTGAAGGGGAGGGAGCTCATTTTTGGACAGATTTGAAGATCTGGGCAGCATTTGTTTTTGCCAAAGTGAAGATGACTGATTAAATATGTATGTGTGACACATTTACGTTGTTAAGAGCAAGTAATGATGATGATTGTGTTTGTTTTCCAGCTCACTGCCAGCAGTGCCGAATCCAGCGTTGCAATGCAGAGTATGTTGCCTCTACCTCGCCCTCTAGTGGTCTGCAGGAAGACGTGGCTCTGGATGTGGACTACTGCATCGCCCTAAGAGCCTACGCTCTGTGCACGCGGCGGCAGGCACGAAGCTGCAGGGGCGACCTGGTCTACCACTCGGCCGTCTTCCGCATTAAGGAGTTATTCTCTCAGCATAACTGCTCCAGCGATGGGCCCACGTCATCCGTGAAGGTCCCCAGCACGTCTCGGCCGGCTGTATCAGAGCTGTGCAACTATGAAAACCGGGTCCTCACGTCAGGCTCAGCCAGTCAGCAGAAGAAATACGCCCACTGTGGATTATTCGGAGACCCGCACCTACGAACTTTCCGAGATGAGTTTCAAACCTGCAAAGTCGAGGGGGCGTGGCCCCTGATCGACAACCGTTTCCTGTCTGTGCAGGTGACCAATGTACCTGTTGTGCTCGGCTCCAGCGCCACGGCAACCAGCAAGGTAAAGACGAGTTTGGAGTGAAGCTGGAGTGGTTTTTCAGACAAATTCTAGACATATTTCAAGCAGAGATGCCAAATGGTCTTTGATGTTTTGTTTATTCACCTGTGACAGTTTATTAAAAATCTAAAGCTGTTCAAAAAACTTAGTAAAAAAGAAGACATGGATGTGGAATCAAAGAAACTACTCACAGGCTCTAACAATTGATCACACATCGTCACATGGAGGGATGATTTATGATCATGACCTGGAGTCCTTGAGGAAAAATAGTGCCTCCCATCTGGCCTTTGCATGTGACTCTAAGATACAAAGCAGAGTTTACTTGCAGAAGCGCTCACATGTTGATTAAACATCTTTTATGTTACATGTCCCTCCTCAAGTATTTTAAGATACTTCAGTAAAATCTGGCAAAGAAACAAAGAAACAAACAAAATAAATCACCTCTACCAGACGTTAGATATCACTCCAACATAATTCTGGATAAATGGATAATAGGAAGAGTTAAACTTCTGGCTTGGCGCGGTGTTTTTGAGTACAGGATTTGTAGCTCGAGTATTGCCATAGAGTATCAAACATGTGAAGTTAATCGTCATTCCACGCTACGGTGCCTCTCGAGCCACCAGCATTCCTCTTGTCTTGGAGCTCCTTCAGATCTGTGAGGGAGCAGAGAGGAGGGGAGTCCTTCAGCAGTGTTGAATCACAGACATGCTTGATCGCTCTACCTTTAACACATGGGTGGTCATATGGTAGTGATTAACGCTCACTCAAACATTTTCCTCCACCACCACCACGATCTGGAATGTTTTTTCACCCCTCTGGTCAAATAATTAAGTGGGAGCTTTTTGTGTAAATATGGAATAATGTGGAAAAATAGGGGAGTAATTGGACAGCAGTGAGGGTTTCAATTCTGTTCATTAAATAGGTTAGTTTTGCATCGAGGCATTTTGGCTGTGCGTTCTGGGTTTGCAGCTTTAATGCAAACCTGTAGTTTGGGTATGTCTTTGCTAGCACCCGCATGCCCCCATCGTGCTTTTGGAGTTGTTTTCAACTGCCAGACTAAAGACAGGAAATCATCCATCAAATACAGTATCCCCGTAAGTGTAAACTCAACCACAGCCACCGCTTTGTCAAGATACTCTGAAGGAATGGAGGTTAAGCCCCTATTTCTCCAAACCCTGCTGGAATACAAACCATAGTCAGTCACTGAATAATTTGTGCCAGTGTAGGAGAAGAGTTTTAATATATACATGAAAGCTTGGGGCTGTTATGAGTCTGTGATGTTAGAGCCAATAATCATTGAAGACTTTTGGGTTAAGTCCAATAGTCTTTTTTTGGATTATAAACGGGATTAATCATATTTTACATGATCTCTTTCTCTTTGACTGTTAGTGGTCCAGTGATATTGACAGAAAAGATGCATTCTTCTCGATTATTTATTGTCTTTATTAGAGAAATCACTGTCACTGTGTTCAAAATTAGTACAAGCAGTCTACACGTTTAACACAGGTCCTTGCTGTCACCCTGTGGCTGGTTTTGGTACTGCAGTTTGTCAAACTAGTTAAACATTTTTGTAAAGTTTAAGTCTGTAGCTCATTATTCTGTTTCTCTGTGTTAGTATACCTTTCAAATTATATTATGAAATAAAAACTGTCAGTTTGATTAATGATTATTTGTCCATTAATTTCAGATCACAGTGATCTTCAAGTCATACCATGGCTGTACTGATCAGAAGGTGTACCAGGCCACCACAGAAGATCTGCCTCTGGCCTTTCAGGATGGGACGCGCAGCGGCGGCGAGAGTGGCAGCCTGACTATCGTGGAGCGCGGGGGCTCCGGAGTGGGTCGACAGGTGAAGATACAGGCCCGCTACATCGGAACCTCCATCATTGTCCGGCGGGTCGGCAGCTACCTGACCTTTGCCATCCGCATGCCAGAGGATACTCTGGACTTTTCTGAGGACAATGGCGGCCTGCAGCTCTGCCTGCACGGCTGCCCACGCAACGAGCTCATCAAAGAGCACACGTTAGGCCGACAGAGCCAGCAGCCCCGCCTGCAAGGTACAAACACTGAGCTGGGTCCTCTGCGGCCCCCCCACCAAGTATACACGGTGGAGCGGGCCACCGCAAAGTGCAGAGACACTCTGCAGGTGGAGGACGTTTATTTTCAGTCCTGCGTGTTTGACTTGCTGACGACAGGAGACCCAGAGTTCTCCATGGCAGCCTACGGTGCTCTGGAGGATTTAAAGGCACTGCCTCCCAGTAAACTGAAGCAAAACTCCCCGAGGACTCCTCGCCTTTACAACCGGGCATCAAACACATCAGCTGCAGCTGCAGCCAGCAGCTCCCTGCTCTCACTCCTACTCCTCACTCTGCTGCTTATGTGAAAGTTGAAGAGATACATATAACTCGGGGTGACCAGGAGACTTGTCTGTTTGAGTGCATGCTCCATATGCAATGCAATGTCCCAGGTTGAATTCTAGCCACTCCCTTTGCTGCATGTCATCCCTTTTTTTCTGTCTGTCCAGCCGTCTCTATCACAACAATGCAGAAACGCCAAAAATCCTTAAAAAAAAAAAAAAAAAAAATCACATGGAGACAAACAGAACATGGAAGCATCAGCAGCTTGAGGAAAGAGTGATTAAACCCAGACATTTGATGTATTGTATTTTAGGAGGGGATTTGTGGAAATTGTGAACAGCTTTTCCTTTTTTTTATTTGTCATTTGAAGGATTTTAATATTATCACAGATGGCATTTTACACAATTTCCACATCCACATCCCCATCATATCGTGCAGCTTGTTTACCGTTTTCCACGTACTCTCTGATGGTTTACAGCAGTTTTTTGAAAGGTTCAACTTCTCTGTGTGTGCGCGCCGATATCAAGGCAGCTGAAGAGTATTTTTCTGTTAATATTTGAATGCACAATCTTTAAACACTCCCACCTGTACGAAGCTACGAATAATACTCCATACTTTATGTAAGCTGTTTCTGTGCAGAGCAATGTGGCTTATTGATCCTGTATAATCCAGTAATATCACAAGCACTTAACAGTTACAGCAGCAAGTTTTGGTGTGTTTAAATGTTACGGCTTTATTTACTTCAACTCTTGTTCCGGAAATTGGCATGTTAATATACACGGGATCCAACAACTGTAAGTAAAAACTACCTACTCATGACACGCAACGTCTCACTTCATCTCAGCTCTCCGAAAATCTGTGAAACACTCCCTCTTCAAGCTGTTTGGCTTCCAGTTTTAAAGATAAAAAGACACAAATCTTTATATAATAATATATTAAAAGAGTGTATATATGTGTTTTATATTGTGTACATTTGCCTGTGTATAGATGTTTTAACTGTAATGTGTTTTACATTTGTTGTGTCTGCTAGGTTATTTTGAAGCATTGTATGAAAAGTTAACTAATATGTATTGTGCTGTATCTGTAATTTTTCTGTATTAAAGTGTTGGACACTCCAGAACCAGGTCTACTTTTTTTCTCTTAAATCTTGCACTTGAGACTAAATTTTGAGAACTAAAATCTTGCAATACCTCTTGCGTCCTGATGGGGTCCTCGATCCATAAGGTGTGATAGTTTTGAGTGTGAAGACAGTTTTGACAGGCTGGCTGTGTAGCTGTAGGGATCCACAGTATGTTCTCAGTCCCCTGTGTGAATGTTACCTCTGAGTGCTGAGCTGGCTGCTGCCTTTGCTTTTGTCTGCCAGAGCTCTGCGTGGCTCCAAATAGGATTTAGTCTGTGGTTAACACCGGGTTAGAGTCAACACACACACACACTGCTGATATATGCACTATATAAGAACAAAGCGTGCTATGATAAAAACGAGGAATGTGATCATTTATTTTTTTTAATCTCCATTCAAAATGCAATTAAAGAAGCTCCTGCACACTCCTTATGAAGACCTAAAGAACTAATGCTTCATAATTAGCAGATGTAGATTTCATTTGTGTTTTGAATGAAGGTAAAAGTGTCTCAGAGCTTGTATTACTGTGTGTCAGCATGTTCCGTCACACGCAATCACACTTAATCTCTCCATGTCCCATTTCTTCAAATAGAGACAGAACCAGAGAGAGCTAAAAGGTTTCTGGCCAATGAAACGTGTCACCATTTTCAGCCATTATGTGGGAAGCACTCTCCTGGCCTGAATCAAGTCTTCCTTGGGTGACTTCATCACCTCATTCTTGATATAAGGAGGACAGGAGAGAGATGAAGAGGGATGACGAGGGGAAGAGAGTTGATTGTAGCTTGGTGCTTACACAGCCCGTTCAAAGAGATGCAGTCAGATGAAGACTGTGTGGGAAGAATTGTACAGTTCTGTACATCTGGGAGTACATTTTCATTGGGCTTAATTTGAGTCCTCACATGTCAGGCTTCTGCTTACTTTTCTCATTTACATCTGAGAGGTGCATTAAAGTTTTAACTCCACAACATACTGTTCAACATTATCCTTCGGGGTTTTGATTAAATATTGAAAAACAAAAAAACCTGAAAAAGGTGAGTGTGACAGACCAGGACACTATAGCACTTGAAGGTAATCTTGATTTTTCTGTGTAAAATCTCAGCCTTGGAAATCACTGTACCCAACTTTTGGTGTGTTAAAAGTAGCTCTACTTCAAGTAGTTTAAACAGTAAAATGCTGCTTACACATTGTTGAATGACAAAACCACAACAGTTATGCTGCGTTCGAGTTACCTCGGAAGTCAGAAGTTCAAGCTGAGAATGACGTCACACCTGAGTTACCAGCTAAAGTTGGAAGAAAGGAAAATCGGAGGCGGAAACAAGATGGCTACATCTATGAAAGTTCTTTTAGCGCTTACCTTGTCTGATATAAGCAAGGACAAGGCAAGCGCTAACATAACCTTGGTAGTTGTAGCCATCTTGTTTCTGCCTCCGATTTAGCTTTTTTCCAACTTGGTAACTGAAACACTTTTAACTCGGGTGTGACGTCATTCCTAGCTCAGACATCTCACTTCCGAGGTAACTCGAACACAGCATTAGTGTACACTTTGGTATAACTAGGTGATCTGATCGAACAAGAGGCTTTCTATGATTAATACATTACCCCACGTCGACCAGGTGTTCTTGAGTTATCCATTAACATTACAGCAGACAGTCTCCGTCATAATCAAGTCAGTACCTCTAAAATAAACCATCAGACTTACGTTTCACTTGTTTGTGTGAAACATAAAACCCAGACAGTGTTTAATTCCCTGTCCTGGTTGAGTTGCAAATCTAGCCGAAAAGTTCACAAGAAAACACATTTACTGCTTAATGTCATTTAAAGTGCTATTGTGTAAAAGCAACACCACACCTGCAGGCATTGTGTTCTGCTGAATATCGCAACACTGTCCCAGTCAACAGCATTGTGCCTAAAATATCCCCAGAATCCCTGAAACACTTACAGTGGCAATGTTGCACTCTTTATCAGCACTCAGAGAATGTCTCCAGGTCCAGTCAGATTGCTTGGCTAAGGTTAGGGTTATGGTTAGAGACGGGATTAATCAGTAACTCAGATTTACACAGGCCACAAAAGCAACTGCCAACAGACTCTTATTTCAGCGGATTCGCAGGATTTTACTGAAAGTCTAAAGATAAATGAACGTGATACAAAGTAGCTGGAGTGCAGAAAGAGTGCAGTAAAATGCTTGAGTTGCTTGGCAACAGTCTGGATTCAGTCAAGTTCCAGAAATACTTCTATTAGAGGAGCCAGATGGATGAGAAAACATACGAGAGATGATAATCTTTTGTTTCCTATAACTTTGCACTAATATGAGGTTACAACACTGGAGTTTGGGCTGTTGTGCTGAATAACAGCAGAGCCACTGTCAACTCCAGCATTTAGCCTGTAGCTTATGACAGTATTTTTTTTATTTAATCTTATAAAAACTTATTCAGCCCTGAGGGAAATTCAGTCATTTCACTCTATTGAAGCATACTATGCACACTTAGGCCAAAATACACCCAAAACATGCACAAACAGGACCCTGTGAATATGCATTTTCAGTATTTTGAAATAGCTATTTGAAGACCTTGGGCTCTATTTTCGTGCCTCGCCGGAGACGTGCCGCAGGCGCAGCGTAAGTCAGGTCCACCGCGGCGACAAGGCGTTCCCAAGCACAATTTGGTATTTTGGTGAGCAGCGCAGCCCGGCGTAAGTATCCCCCCTCCCTAACTCAGCTCCTCCCAGCGGCGTAAGTCGTAGCTAGGGAGGAGAGAGGGCGTGATCCAACCCAAGTCCCCATACTGCTGCCCCAGAGCAGCCACACAGTAACCCTTATATTCAGTATACATGGCTTAAGTGGTGTGATACAGCCTAATTAGTCATAGCCTATTCTAATTAGGTATGTAATAGGTCTATATCAGTAACTGTTTCAAGTGCAACTCTATAACTACAGGACTTGATTTGCTATTGCTTTCACTGTGACCCATCTATTGACTGTCTTCAGTCTGAAAAAATAAGACCTGTTTAAGTTGTAAACTCTCTTGATGACATGTAAACAGAGCCTTAGCTTTCTTTTTTGGTTTAAAGGCTTTATCTAAATATAAAAAGCCAAACAGCTTCAGGCTTCATGATTGGCGTCACATTTCAAGCATTCAAGCAGCACCAGTCTTCGCTACTCTCCAGCCTGTTTGAGTTCAGCCTCTTAGTCTTTGACAAGGGTAAAGTTCCTGGCAGCTCTTGAAGCTATCAGAATTTCTTATTCTGAAAACTAGAAATGAATTACATTCGAATACTTTAAAAAGTCAGTTCCTTACAGCCTTGAGAGGAGTCCTGACTGTGTGTTAGCTTGTTAGCAGACATGGTTGAGAGTTACAGGAAACTATCCAACCTCTGAAAACCATCCTGCCTTGACTTTTCCCAGTAAACAAGGACAATTACTAAGCTAATGACTTGAGAAAAAAACTGCTTGAGTGATTGATACTCTCAATAGGGAAATTAATTTGATATTAATAGAGCACTTGGCAAGATAAATAGATGGTGTGTTAGTCCTCTCCTTGATTGATAATGGATAGATTGATGGCTGTCTTAATGCAGGATGTTCCTTTGACTTCAATGAGGTGGCCCTGATGAGGACAGACTTTGATATAAGGAGGTAACAAAGTGATCAGGGGCTTAAAATAACTTCCTTAAGTATATTTAAAGTGCAATGCCTTTACTTGGAAAGGTAATCAGAGGTGTCAAATGCATCTGAGATTAGAGTACCATGAAAAAAAAAACAGATAAGGGAAAGAATGAGTATGACACCGGGAAACATCATGTTTTAGTTGTAACAGGTAACTTCTGATAAAAAGCTACATTTCAGCTCTTTTAGATGTGATTTATTGATGCTAAATGATGCATGTGATGTTGGTCAGCCACAGTTGTAAA